CGTCGTATTTCGTTTTCCAATCAAATATTTTATTCACGTATGGATTGTTGTCCTTAAAGTTCTGCCAACTTTGATGCCAACGACTGTCTTTGTGTAACTCAACTCCTGTCGCATCTCTGAAAAGATTTGTCGTTAAAGTCAGTCATGAAATGTAAATGCATTTGAAAACCAACTCATTTGGTTCGATGGGCTTCTGGTGGGCAAACATATCCTCCGATTCCTCTTTTCTTTTGCGCAATTTTTCCGGTCTTTTATACACTCTTCCAGTCTCTCCGATCTCTTCGCCCACAGCTTTCACTGTCTATTCATTTCAAACACACATTTCATAAATTTTATAACAAATAAATGGTTAATAATTATCAAAAACCTGTGAAACCGTTTTGAAGGCATCGCTTTGACTGAGTTGTTCCGTCTGTTTGGTGAAAGCCTCGGCCGCACTCTTCGCCTGTTTCTGCAACTCATCCGTCATTTCGATCCCTTTTTTGCCGATCTCTGTCTTCTGTGCGTCTTCTATACCTTTCGATATCTTATCTTTAATTGATTCCAAATGCTCTTTGAATTGCTGACCACTTTTGGCGGTTTCCGATTCAATCGATTGCTTTTCATTTGCAAAACACAAAAACAATTTATAAATCCATTCAAAACACAACACTTTCGCAATTCATTTACATATTTATGTCTCGCTTTCTGAAGCGCTTCCGAGTCTTCCAGTTTCTGCGCCTCTTCTCTAAACTTCTTGAGACTCTCTTTCATTTCCTTATTCTTCGACATCTCTTGTTTAATGTTATCAATGAGTTTCCCAATGAAACCCTTTTGTTGCGGCGATTGTGAGGCATAACAACGGATCTAAACGTTTCAAAACAATCATTATTATGGACTCAAAGACTAAAGTCAATGATAATTGGCATTACATTTGAGTTGTGAAGACATTGCGGACAATAAGACCAGCGAAGGCTTTGGGAACAAATGAGTTGACCGTTGGTTCGCCGGACCAGTGATGACAAACAAATGGATCTCTTCGTGGATCTTAATAAATAACTCATTGAAACGATTGTTAATATAATTGTTTAAAATCTAATTAAAGATAATTTTAATCATAAAATAGACATTTAAATCGCGAAACGATTAAAAATGCAATAATTGAATGAATAGTAAAACAAAAATAAACTTAATTTACAGTAAAAACGCTTTAAAGGCATGTGTTTTGGAAAACATGAGGCAATCCCTGTCTGTCATTGGGTTTACAACTCTTATAACGGCTNGCATTGCAATGAAGATTGAATTCATGAGATGAGAGCTAAAAGGAAAGACAGCCTTAAATGCAATCTCTGATCACTTGTAATAGTAATATATTTTACACGAAACGAACCGCTCTCTCTCTCTCTCTCTCTCTCTCTCTCTCTAATGCTGTTCAGGCAATCAATGCTCTCGAATCGAGTGCCGGTGCAGTGAATTCCCGTTCATATATACAATATATGCCGAACCAAATTAATGATGGTATTGCTGAGCACTTGTCTAACATTTATATCAAATAACTATAAGTTATAATCATTTAAACGCTTCTCCACGAGTCGTTCAACAATCAATTGTATCACTAATATTGACATGTTTTGCACAATTAGTTTATGTTGAGCTCACATATGAATTACACTCAAAGTATATACCATTAAATGTTTTGTTTGCACTGAATTCGTGTCACTTTCTCTGATATAATATCAATTAAATATAGATTTTTAGTGACAAAACAAAAGCTTAATCTAATATTTTGTGCTTTTATGGAGTTTTTAAGAGGACAGCAATAAAATAGAAATAATAACAATGTTTTTGTTGTGTTGGAGAAAGTATTGAGCCGTTGGAGTGTATGTGAGAGCATATGAGAGCATATTTTGTTGAAGGGATGCGACACTATTGTGGAGGGATTGGCATCAATGGCATGGCATTGATGTGGCTCTTAGTCTCACATAACTGTGCCATTCATTGACACAAACATATACTAAAAGAGCTCATATGTTATGTTGTGCTCCACTCAACGCCAATGCAGTGACAGATAAATCCTATGATAAAAGCTAGTGATGTCGGAACACCTGCCGCACCGAAAACACTATTATTGGCCATTGTTTGAGACATAAGGCCATTCAGGTAGGGATCCAATGATAAACAGATCCATTTAGCGCTAACACTAAATCTCTTCGTTATATTCTATTATCCCCAAAGAATTGAGTGTTTTTTGCCAATAAAGTCAATGCAATGCTTTAGAGCCCTAATAATTCTGCTATAAATGAGTTTCCCATTCGTCGCAACAAATATTGTCTTATAATATAATGTGGACTTTGATTGTCTGCATCTCTGCATAAAATAAACGCCAATATCTGTTTGAATGGATAACCGGGGCTTAAATGCGCTTAAATGAGATATTGAATGACAAAAAATACTACAACAATATTGAATTGGTATCTAATTATGTGCTACTTTTGTCGGAATATAACATTCAGAATAATTGATCGCATCTTCGCCGGCAATATAGCATTTTAAGGACCAAATATACATTATATATACATATAGATAGTGTGTGTGAGATATGATGAGCTCTGGTGAGACCCATCTGTGCCATCAAATTAACTCTTGTAATGCTATGTAAAATAAAAAGCGTCGACTCGACGACAAACTTCTCTCGTTTTGTGCACATTGTATAACACAATGCCGTTCTGTGGACCACCTTCTGAATCAATTACATTGAAGGGATTACAGGGCTTTCAAACTGGGCTTCTGTTGAACAAATGGCCAATTAATTTGAAGATTAGGCCCGGATTTCACATTTTTACATAATTGTATTCAAATACAAAAATTATAACATTATTATAACACAGAATTTCATTTAAAGCATTCATTTCGAAATAAATCACTTTTTATTATACATTCTTTTGATATAATAAGTTATATAAAAATAGAGAGCGAATTATATCTAAAAGTCTTAGTTTTATACAACTATTATATTATGGTTATTATGGTTTATTCAATTTGAAAATAAATTATATATTATATAATACAATAGAATCTATATATAAGTGAATGTGTCGTTAAATACAGGTTTTGGTGATGTTGTGGTAGTGTATAAGTGAGGGGACAGACATTACTCAGGCATTACTACCGACGGTATGGTTCATAGAGTATTGTACAGCAAAGTGAGGCTTAAAGGCATTGATTGGAGTGAAACGCAACGGTCATCATATGTAACACATGTGGTTAAGTGATCTTGTCTTCAATACAAAATGTTACACAACATTCACAATGCATTTCCAACACTCATAAGCTATAGCCCGACCGCACATACACTTCAATACAACAGGGCATCAATTTTCTCCCAAAAGCATTCATCACTCCCTGTAATGCTCTCTACAAAAGTATTTCTCATTTTTTGAATCCATTTCTTGAGCCTTAATATCATCATTACGTTATGACTTGCGATTCAGTGCTCTGACCAATGCATACAGTGCTCAATACACGTACACCCAGTGTCTCAACATTCACTTCCAGTCTCATCCATACCATCCATGTGTTCACAATTCCTGAAACTGATACTGAATTATAAGACAGATAACGATTGGCTTCTCTTATAATAATACTTGTATAATATATAGGAGTTTATATACCTTTTGAAATATTTGCAATTTTTCTATTTTTGTAGAATAAATTCAATCGTGATTTCCATTATAGATATTTTTGAGACTCAAACCAATATATCTATATATGAGAGAACAATATATAAAAAGTAATCTCATTTTGCATAAAACACAACTCTCTTATACAGCTGTTGCCTAACAGTAAGCATATGCCAGATATGACGACCCAATGTTTGCCGGAGAAGCACCAGCTCTTGCCATACCATCCATACTATAGTCTAAACGAGATTCTCTACACATATGGAGAACTTTTTCTCAGATAAATTTTTCATCAATTCCCCTATCCTTCAACTTATATAACTCTACTCTCGCTTATCAATAAAGTAATGCTTTTTATTTTATCTCCAATATTAAAGGCAGATGAGAGAGACTCTCCTCTATAGTCTAGTACTGAATACTATACCATACAGTCATATAATATAACACTTTTATATATATTGAAAAATATAATGACTTGCAAAAAACTCGTCACATGTGTGTTACCCAACAAAAAGTGCATTTCATAAACACATAGCGATAGTAGAGTCAGTCAAATGAGTGTGAAATGAAATTTAAGACATCAATACTAACTCAACACAAATCTATCTTTTCTCTATCACTTAATATTGATGCCAATGAAAGCCAATGTTTCTCATGCTTCCCATCACAGCATTAAATCAATTTCTTCTCATCATTACATGAAAGCACTTAAAATCAATTTAAAGGCATTTTGTTTCATTGATTTATAGGAAGAAATATAGCCAAAAATATTGTCAAATTGTTGTCATAGTATGTGCACAACAGAATCGCATATAAGCATTGGTTAACATAACAGACTATATTGGCATTTGTCTGACACTTACAACTAAAGTCACAGCTTTGAACCCTTTCCTTAGGGATCAGTTGCGGTCAAAACGGAACTCATTTCTGCAAAACTACTCCAGAATAACACCAATGATAGAAAATGTCACAAACTTTTTCTTCGAGTGATTAATGAACTTAAAACACATTCAGACATGAATCGGATTTATTTGAAAAATTGCATCAAATAAATACTTTAAGTTGAGATGAAATAAATAAGTTATAATTTAAACGTAAATGAACATGTTCAAATACTCTATTATTTAATAAACCTTATCTACACATATCTTATCATTATCTAGTATAAAGAATTTAATCAAATAAATATCGTTATAGGATGAGCACAAAAAATTGTTAATCATTGATTAATTAATTTTTTATAGACTTGTGTTTTAATGCAAATTCTATTAGTTTTTCGTCAAAAAATATATAAAATATATTGTAAAATGAATTTACAATTATATGAAAACAATTACTTTTGAAAGTTGTGTTTATATTTTATTATTATATGTATTTATGAGAAAACTATTAGTACTTAATTTGCATAAGAATGATGCAAAATAACACATAGCTAAAGTTTTATTTCAATTTTATTAATACCATATAATAAATGAATGACTGGAAACACCTGAACGACAACCAAATTGATTGTTGAATTCAGGCTAACCGTAAGGTATGGATAAAAGCCGTGTCAGTGTTTAGTTAGGGGAAGGGCTGCCAAAAAATAATCCTTTCGAAGGGAAATGAAGGGTAGAAAAAATCGTAAGGGAATGAAAGGGTCAACAAAATGCTAAAATAGTTAACGTAAAGCTGTTGTGTATATCAAAGTCCTATTCTTTCAATTGTTATTAATCAACATTTGGAAAGAGAGCTAATCGTTGAGAAGAGAATTTATTATGTGTTTGACTTATGCTATGAATAATTCTTTCTCTCTATTCAATAATGCATTGAATTGAAAGGGAATGAGTTGTGGGGATCGCCACCTCTTCCTCTCCACGACATTATAAAGAAAGTAGTTTTGCAAACATTTTGCACATTAAATAAGAGTGTGTATCAAATCAAATACTGAATAACTGATCGTCTAATATACTTTCATTTCGGAATTGATTTCCTTTTGTGTGTAATATAATCCTTTGGCTTTCCCTCACTTTTAGTGAGAGTTTAGTAACGCCTCCGTCCTTCTGGTGACAAATGACCGCCGGCTAGTGGTCAACAAAATGCCACCAAAACTACATTTCTATCGCACAATCATTTATCAAATTGTCTACAAAAACCGTTGGAGAGAGAGAGAGAGAGAGAGAGAGAGAATATGTTAAACCGCATACACTGTTAGTTCGACTCTATTTTTAGTAAATAAACTAATTTTTATGTATTTTATTATTTGCAGAACATTTTTAATGCAATGTTTGCAATACAATAAGTCTTAACGAATAACTCAACAAATAAATAAGTTTTGAATTATAGAAAAAATGAATAAAAGGTATGAGAAGTGTTGGTATGAGATTGAAAATGAATGAAATACAACACATGAGTGAAAAGTTAATCCAATTTATTGTAAGAATTAGAATAAAGAGAATTTGTGTTAAGAATATAC